AAACTGAGGCTTCAGGTCCTCAAAGTCACACACCAATGAGTGGTGGAGCTTAGATTCCAACCCAGGCAGTGTGATTCCAGAGTTTTCCTCTTGGCTATTCATATTATGACAAATTGCCTCTCCAGTTCTGCCTTATCTCCAGCTTCAACTAATCTAGAATGATAAACTAAGAAAAATCTCAGTGTTTCTCAATCTGAGATGCAAGGTGTGAAGAGACACGAACACAATGACCCCACCCTGGGGACAATGATCTGATTCTAGGTGGGAGGGAAAGGGGAGAATGTGGTCTGAAAATATATTTTCCCTAAGCCTATTGTTTTCACATATAAATGGCAGGGCCAATGCTGGACAAAATTTGGGCTGTTGGGAGAAATTGAAGAAATAAAGCAGGGGGGCAAATAGTTAAAAAATGTTGATAAACATTAACATTCTTGACCACTAGTCTGACTTTAATTAGCTGTAAAATCCTGGGAAAATCACAAAACCCAGTGCAGCAATATTTCCTGGGGCAGGACTAGATGATCTCAAAGGCAGAGCTTTCCAATTGCTGGTCTGTGAAAAACTATCAGTGACAATTTCTGTATACTGAAGAAAAATAAAGGATAGTAACTGTCTCATGAGGCAAATTATATTCAATTTAAAGATTGCCCTCCTACCATTTCTTGTTAATATTTCAATTATGAAATGATGGTGATGAATATACATGGTAAAAGGGCTTGCTTTCTTTTAATGCCCTACTTAGCCAAACAAGTTGCTTACTGAGCTCATTCTAGAAACTTTTTTGAACTAATAGGGTTATGAATCTCAAACACAGGGACCCATTACTTCCAAGTATTTACAACTTGTTAAACCTTTTTTTTTTTAAATAATAAATTTTATTTTTATATTCCCCATACAATTGCAGCCCCCCCCATTCTGACCCCAATCCCTCCCCTCCCGCCCCCGCCCCCCTAAAAGTGTCTCTGGTTCATAGTTTTTTGTACAACTTGTTAAACCTTTTCATTTGAATTCTTTCTATTGTTGTCCTCATCTATTAAACAATCTTATTTTCCACAGATTGAAAAAATGGAATTTAGGAAGGTGAATTTATTTAATCAAGATAACATAGATAATTAAAGAGACAGATTGTAATCTATGTCTTTGACTCTAAAACGTGTGTGCTTTTGAAACTAAGTGGTTCATAAATATGGTAAAGCAATAGAATCATAAAGAGAGTGTTCTCAACCCAAGAACTAGTAAATATGAATTTCAGGGGGATGGAATAAGAGTTCTTCTGTCTTGGAAGAGCTCTCTACGTGATTCTGGTATGCACCAAGTTTACCCACCTCTATGCCCCTGGCTTTAGCAGAAGGAACAGAAGCTTTGGAGACAGACAGAACTGGGTGTCCCAGACAAGTCACAGAATCCATTTGAGCCTCAGTTCTTTATGTAGAACTATTTTATCTTCTCTCTATATCTATTACCTGAGTCTAATGCTGCCTAATATGCAGATTTGTTAATATGTTAAAAAATTATGTAAAGTGCCTAGATATGATTGTCAAAAAAATGGAAGATATTATTGCTTATATTATCACCACTACCACGACTATACTCGAATATACTGCCTAGTATAATGCTCTAATATTACTGAGTAAGAATAAAGTATCAATTTATAGTGATGATTCTAGAATTTTCCTGATACAAATTCATAACAAATACAGATTTCATGACCTTGAAATAGTAACCAGATGTCAGTTTTCACCTCTATTAAATAACAGTATATGTGAATCACTAAGGTGTCTCTTGGCTCTAAGAATCTATAGCTTTATTTAAGCATTAATAGGCCTAAACAGTTTTGAGGAAGTGGTTTTCAGTTAAGTATTAAAAAGGCATAACTGAAATAACTGATACTTATGACAGCTCTGTAGTTTTGTCATTTTCTATCAACAAAGGACTATGTCCAAAGCTAAATACTCCTTTACAACATATATCTACCTAACCCCAGAAATACAAAAAAACTTAAAACAAAAATAAAACCAGAGAGTTAAGAATCCCCAATAATTGGGAAATGAGATAGATATAGAAGAGAAGGGAAAGTAAGGCAGGGGAGATGACTTTTTTTCAGGAAACTAGTTGTATCTATTTGTAAAAACTGCACTATTATGTTATACTTTTGACAGTTTTAAAAATTATGAAAATATGGATTTATTAAAGCCTCTTACCAAAGCCTGAAAACAACCCCAGTCTATAGATACAACCTATATAAATGCATTTCTTCCAACTAGAATTCAATTTATATATTAAATCGTTCTTAATATATTATGTAAACTTTTTTCACTAAGTAGTGAGTGTTCCACCCTTTCTTTTGGTGACTAATTTCATTCTTGTTCTTCTGAAAAAATATCTACTACATTTTAAATATTCCATTTTTATTCCTCTATCTTCTTGCTATCTTCTATACTACTACACAAAATGCAGTGTTTTCAATATTTAAAATTCAGTGATTGAAGTAGGTTTTAATCATGAAACCACAAACTATTTGGTAACAGTAGCAAGGATCAAAATTATATCCCTTTCAAATTCATATTAAGCTGTAGTATTTTATCCCCGAGCAAGATTAATTTGATTTACTGCTTTCTGCCATCTGCCCTAACTATAATCAAAATGAAAAATCCTTCCCGATTTTAAACTTAGTTTCCTTTCTGCTTCTCCTGCTGTTCCCTGATGCAGGCCTATGTTCAAGCATTACCCTGGGTACTGTAAAGGTCTCCTTTTTAGATGGTTTCTTTACTTCCAGGGCCTTCCAATTTAAGTGTCCTTTAAATGCAGCCGTCTTAATCTTTCTGAAGCAGTGCTAATTATGGATTTTTCTACTAAAATGCCTTCTATTTACCATAGTCCCATCTGCCATTCAAGTTCCCATGATCTTCTCCCAAACTACCTCTCTCTTCTTACTGTGTACCTGTGGACGAGTCCCTTGCTTTCCAGACAAATTAAACATCTGCTAGTGCTTTAATGCAATCTGAGCTTTTCATTCTCCTTTATCATTCTATGCTTCTAACAATACAAATAAATGGAGAAACTAATGTTAATTGATCATAACTTCTATGAATGAGATGGGATTCTTTTTTCTCTATTCTCCAAATTACATTTGCCCCCAACTTGAAAAAGTTGCACTCATAAGAATCTAAGGAGGCATATAGTACTCGCAACTCAAAGTCCTGTACTGTCACTCCATGTTTACTCAGTATTAAATTTACTCTTTCGCTGTTGAAATAGGATTCCCTTTCAGTTGCCAGCTACATGAGCCCAGCTGGTAGAGGAGAAGAACAACGTGCCACAGAAACCAAAGGAACCTAATTTGCTGACCTATTTTGTTTATTTTGGTTATTTCAGCGGTGTAATATAGTGCATACAACTTTGGGCTAGATATCTAGTAACCTGGAATTTGGACTCTTTTCTCCCATGACCAACCATACATACAGCATTCAGAAAATTGTACCCCTTTTCTGGCTCTCAGTTTTTTCATTTACAAAATGGAAATCTGTTTTGCTTTACTTAATGTGCATGCAGAAGAAATTACTGTTATTTTATTTGCCATTCCCTAAGACAGAGCACATTTTCTCTATTTGTTTTATAATTCTCTTATTCCCAAAGCTTTTGCATATTCTGTAATTCTATTGCAACACCACTGAGTATCTTCGAAAAAGAAGCAAGTGCCAAATGTCACAAATGATGTTCAAATATATTGCTTTTCAGGTTGTTGATGAGATACTCTCTTAGGCCTTTCATAGATTTAAAATTGTAGCATTTTATATTCAAATTTATATCTGACACTCACATATCTCTTGTATATAAAGAAACCTTCATATATATATATACACACACACACACACATATACACACATATTTGTCATCTTCATTCTCCTATATGAGAAGCATTTGGACATGACAGTTTCCCTCCCTGTGAGTCTAGACCTTATAAAGGTTTAATATGTCTGTTTGCCTCTCATATACAAAAAACTTTGCAGGACATCTCATATCTCTTGCACCTATCTCTTACACACTTTACACTACAGTTATTCCATTTATATCTGGCATAGATAATACGTTTTTAATAAATGTATAAATTTGAAACAAAAAAATTACTGAAACATATTTTATGTTTATTCTTATACATGCTAGAGATTTTGGAGAATCAAAGTAACCAATAACTTGACAGAAGCAAAGATTCTTAAAATGTTTACTTCAAAATATAAGTATATACAGCCAAGTAGGGCACACAAGAAAGAAGATGTAAGAACTACTTGCTCTCAAAACTAGGCAGGTCATCATAATTCAAAAAGCAGACTTTAAGATCAAGATGGCAAGTACATGGCAAACATAGGAATTCTCCCTCACTTGACTAACTCCCCACCCAAAGCAGACATTAATGAATTGATACCAGAAATCAAACCATTTGCTAGCTCTGTTTAAAGATTAACCTGGCTGAAATCTGTCTGAGCCGACACTGCCATGCCTTTTTTACACTTTGGCTGAATTTTCAACAAAACTGTAATTACGATAAAGAAACAAGTTCTTCTATAGTTTCACTGGAGATTTTAGTCAATCTCACCTGAGTGATTTTAAAGCACTAACTCAATGAAACTCAAAGCCTCCAAACCGCCCCCCTCAACACACACCCCCCACACACATTTTGGGGATAACTAGAGTAGAGAAAATTTCAGAGTCTAGAACACTTTCGGCATCTAGGATTTCTTTCAGATTCTAGTGACACATTATTCAAGAATTTTTATTCTTCCATAATCAAGTGAGATAAAAAAAGTTCTATTCCAGTTTTTTTTAACACAAAACACTACATTGTCGACTTAACTAAAATTAAGCCTCAATTTTCAAACTTGTCATTAATTATATACTCTAGAAAAGTAACAGAATGTTTCCAATAGCAAGACTATGCAAAAGGTACTTATACAGAGATGCTAAAGCCGTCCAGAAAAATAGAATTAGAAGTCAGCACTTACTTGGCATAAGCCACTGATGCACATATCCAAAGATTCTGTGTAGCAACGAGTCCCATCTAAGACCTTAGGTGCAAGCTCGACAACCAGGGCTGTTCCTTTGGCCTGGCACTTGAGAGAGCATGGGTTGTCGGGGTCGTTGGACACAGGAAGCCACTCATAAAACTGACCATGGTGCTTGACATCATTATGAGCTGAGCATTGTTGAGCTCGGAAATCACCTGCTTCTGGTGGACAGTCCTGCAAAAAAAAAAAAAAAATGGGCACACAGGCTAAGGGGACAGTCCAAACAGAAAACAGGAGCACAAACTAGTCCCTCAAAGTCTTCAAAAGCAAAATAAATGTTCTGGTCATTACGGATGGACCATCCCATTTCCCATGAGAAGTCACACAATTACTTAGTTCGAACTGTAGAGCTAAGAAAAAGTAATCACCTTGAAATATAGTTTCTGATAGAAGCAGGAATTAACCGGCTCAAAATAGACACACTTTATTAGTTGGAAAAGGAACTACCTTGAAATACAATTTTTCAAAGTTGTCTAGTGGTTCAGGGATTCCTCCACATGGTAATATTTTAATTTTCTTGTGACTTAAATAGAACTTGGTAAATCAGAAGGTTAGTTGAAAGCATCTCTGATGCTTTAAGTTCTGACAGTGAAAGCTATGACATGCTTTATTGTAGCAACTAGCAACAAAAGTTCTGATAATCCCATTAAATAATCTTATGGGGTTATCTATTAATTCTTCCTAAAACAGTGAATTAAACATTAGAACACAAAAAAGAAAGCAGAAGTTACCGGTGAATTTCTTTAGTTTAAGGTTTGGCTGGGTGGAAAGGTATAGAGTCCTCTGATGGCAATGTGGCTGCAACCTGGTGGGTGTCTGTGAGCTGAGGTTTCCTTGTGTTTAAAATAGAGGCAATGATCATACTTAGCTCTAAAGGTCACTGTGAGAATTTTATGTGCTGATGTTGGCTAAACACCAGCACAAGGAAGACAGAACAAAGTAGCTATAGCGATGATTATTTAATGAAGTTTCTGAAGAGAAAGAGTTGAAGAATTGGGTTATTCTCTGCTTTTGATTTTTAACAGAGACCAGTGGAAAACAAGAATATTTAAAATGTATATTTTATAAAGGGCACTTCTATTTTCTTTCAAAACCTTTTTATTGAAGTAACATTGCATTATAACATTATAAAAGTTTTAGGTGTTCACTGTTGAGAATCAACATGTGTACATGCTGTATAAAGGCATATTTAAATATAAAACAGCCATTATCTAATAAATTATAAGCTTCAGTGGAAGCAGGTATGATTTAACTTTTATTTATTTATTTTTTAAAGATTTTTATTCATTTATACAAGCACTGGGGTTCAGGCCAGAGGCGCAGGAGGGCGAGAGAATTCAACTGAGACAGAGCAGGGAGCAGAGCAGGCAGATGGACCGAAATACACTGCTGAGGGGAGCAGCAGGCGCGACAGGAGAAGTCTGCTGCGCTATGTGGTCATCTCCCTGGTCAACTGGGAATCGAACCAGTACTCCAGCTGCAGGCAGCTCCACAGAGCGGCGCTCAACCAGCTGTGCCACCAGGGAGGCCCCGATTTAACTTTTAAAAGGCAAATAGTATCATTTATCCCTTGTGAAGGATTTTTGATGCCTATTTTAGTCTACATGTGTTCAGATTAAGATTTACAATGGAAGATTATTGAATACCCCTCTGTGGAGAGACTTTATTACAATATTTTATCTTAGATAATGGATTTGCATGTGGCCCTCAGCAGTTTTTGGTTACTACATCATCACCTTTGAGTTCTCTAATGCAAGGCTTCTTTCTCGAAAAATGTATTTACATTTTAAAAAAAACTATGAGAATAGGGCCTCCCCTGGTGGCGCAGCAGTTGAGCGCTGGGTTGCGAGGCTGCCCGCAGCCTCTGCAGCGCAGGTTCAATACCCCGCCACCAGCGAGGGTCCCACCAAAAAACAAAACAAAACAAAAAAAACAAAAACAAAAAAACCCCAAACTATGAGAATAGCATCATTCTATTTTATAAAATGGAACTCCTGACTCTTCCAATTTTATTGGTACTATTAAGCAGCACATAAAACTAATATTTGGGGTGCACAAATTCATTTTAGACAAGTAAGGTATAAATCATTACTTATTTAATGAACTTAAAATAGCTTAAAACATAAAATCTCAGAAGTGTTTGATTGCTAGTAATATACACATTTTCAGAGTTAATAAAAGAAAAGAATAATTCATATATCAGCATAGATACAGAAGTAAACCCAACAAATCTAAAGTAACTTTAAATATTCACTTTTTAATTTCTTAAACTATAACTTAACATTCAAAAATTTTAATAATAATTTTTTCCTGTTGTGTTAAACTTTTCTTGTGATATTTGTTTGTTGTGAGAAATAAGACCAAAACCTCAACCTGAAAATTATACATAGTAAATTGTGTGATGGCAACGAAAACTGCCTTAAGTTAAAAAATTAGGAGAGTAGCATTATTCTATTTTATAAAATGGAAAGCTTGACTTTTCAAATTTTATAGATTCTATTAAGCAGCACATAAAACTAATATTTGGGTTGCACAAATTCTTTTTAGACAAGTGAGGTACAAATAATTACTTATTTAACTTAAATATTTTAACACCAGCTCTTTTAGACTTTGTGTTCTAAGTGAAAGCACAAACTTAGCATTGATTAGCTTAGCAAACTGACTGAGCATTAATTCTTCATGGACTACAAAGACCCCAGCTTCCCCACTTAACAAAGCATATCAGTCCTGCCTAACCCTCACTAGCTTCTCTCCTAAAATAACCCTGTAACTAATCACAGCCCCACTTCACAATTCTCTTCCTTAAATTCCCTAATTTGAGACACTTCAGAGACAGTTAAGTTCCTGCTTTCCCTGGCTTATCAAGTTTAATAAATCAGCTTTATTTGATCGATCAGTTTCCCTGGTGGTTATAGGATGAAAGATTTTATAGGTGAACTGAGAGTTCAAATAGTAACACTTAAATAGAGGTTCTCCTGGAAGTCACTTGATCATATAGTAATACAGCAGAAACACTGAAGAGGACTCAAAGTAGAATATTGAGGAAATCGGTTAGAATGGTGCCCAATCTTCTCATAATTACCTTAATAAAATATATAAGTGTATTTATGAATTGTATGTGTGAACCAGAGATAAATTCTAAGAGTGATAATTACATTTTTTTAACTGGTGCTGTTCCTCATCTTAGTGCAAATGTACTACACAGGGTATTTTATGAGTGCTTTCTTTTCAACAAAATGTGTTAGTTCTTCCCACATTTACTAAAAATAAGACTCAAAGGTGATAAAATAGGAAACCACTAAAAAGTTAAAAAGTTAAGAATTTCAGGTGTTTCTTTTTTCTGTTAGAAAAACAGTAAACCTATGTAGACACATCACAGAGTTAACACGAAGACAGATTTTATTGTTTGCAATTCACCTGTATCAAATAGCTTCAAAAACATCTGTCAGGTTTCATGACTTTCATACCAAAGAAATCACTGACGATGATAATGCTAGTGAATACCTTTACCTGCATCACCACTTTCTTTGTGCCCAAATTTTTGAAGGGTGGGAAAATATATTTTACTACATTGAGGATGCACTTTAAACCTGGAGTTCAGAGTTGGAAACTGAACTTGAATTTAATGCTTTAGTTTATTTGTACTTGGCAAAATGCAACTTCCTGTTTTAAGAAAAAGAACTTAAGAGGACTTATAAAACAGGTTCAGAAAGCCTTTTGGACATCAAATAACTCCTACAAAATAACAGTTAGATGATTTAAGTGTAAATGAATCAGAAACACATGAATCAAATTTCCCTGGAAAAACACATACTTAAAAATTAAGGGAAGAAGGATTTGGCAAAAGTTTCTTTTGTTGAACCCAAAACATCTCAAGCACAGTTCAAGACAGTACTGAACCCCTGATGCATCTGTGAATCACACAGCTGCAGGAGAGGAAACTCCAGCAAAGTCATCCTAGTCTCTGGGCCACAGTCGTCATAATAACAGAATAATTCTTATTAGTACAACAATTCACAATGTACAAACTTCAGTTTTTAATTGTAATTTGGGCCCATGAAGCCATTATAGTTTCTGATCTCCTTAAATGTCATATTTAGAAATTGATGCTCTAACTGCTTTGAGAAATATTTAAAATCTAGTACAGGGCATCATCTTCAAGATATCAGCTTCTGGTAGGATGCTTTGTGATTTCACAAGTCATCAGTGCTAACCTTGAGGGATGGTTTCCTTGGGATATAACCATCTCCATTAAATTTCTGAATTCAGAACACACACACATGATTTCTGCTCTCTTAAAACCTTGGTGGTGGTGACATCATCAACATGGCAGTGAAGGGATGCTAGGATTAATTTCTCTCATAAAAACAACTAATAAAAAGGACTAATAATGAGATCTTAGTGGGGCCAGATGCTTGGGCCAGCTTGAGGATGCCGGCAATTCACCAGGGGACAGAAGAGCGATAAGAGGACAAAGAAAGGGAGGAAAACAGGATCTCTGGCTCCTGGCCGATCCAGAGCTCCCTACTGATCCAACAGCTCCCCCCCACCCCCACACAAAGCTGGCCTACATTGTAAGGTGCAGCTGGAGCCCAGTTTGGAACCCACAGCACCCCACCTGTGATATCTGCGACCCCCAGATACCCACAGATGGGCAACCAAAGCCTTGGCACAGGCTGCCAACTTCACAGCCACAGTGGCCCAGGCACTAAAAAGCTTGAAGAACACTAAATTACCACAATGAAAGAAAAACTACAGCAAAACACATAATAGTAAAGGTTTCAATAGTCCAAGACAAGGAAACAATAATGAAAATGATGAGGGGGAAGAGAGAGATAACCTATAAAGGAAAACCAATTAGGCTGACATCAGAACTTCTTTGAAGAAACCCTAAGGGCAAGAAGAGAATGGAGCGACATAGTCAACAAACTCTATGACAAAAAATGCCAACCAATACTTTACCCTAAAAACTCTCCTTCCTCTTTGAGGGAAAAATAAGGACCTTCTTGGGCAAACAAAATCTTCAGAAATTCACTACCATTAAACCCCCACTCCAAAAAAATTACAAGAAGCTCTAAAGCCAAAACCAACAGAGGAATGAATAGAAAGAACAGTATAAGGTAAGGAATAGAACCACAAAATGATGAACATAATGGCAAGTACAGACTCCAATA